TCCCCTCCCCCCACTCTAACCCTTCCTCAACTCTTCCCCTCCCCCCACTCTAACCCTTCCTCATTTTTAGTCCTCCCCTCTACCCACCCCACTCTAACCCTTCCTCAACTAATATTATGATCATGAGTCGTCACCAAAAATAAAATAACTAAAACGGCCGTTATAATTATATGGTTATTTTCAGGAGACCAACTTTGACTCAGTCCAAGGAACCGTGTGGAGATAGATTCAAGATCTACATCCCGTTTGCTGGAGACTCACTGAAGTGTAAGTAAACTAAGTTAGTAGAATTAAATATTGTCACACATTGGTAGTGTTTTTTTAAAGATAACTTTGTTTCAGTGCTACAAAACTGAGACAAGCATATTTATAATAGTACCTGTAAAACCTCATGGTTGAATGTGATGTGATGTCTGTCCTATCCCAGGGGAGGTGATATTTGACAGCTGCCAGCCGTCCAACCCTCCTGACTTCATCTTCTTGGGTGAAAATGGCAACTTTGATCCTGACATAGAAAAACTGGAGGTTAGAACTTAAAATTCATTTTTGATTATCAGATGTCTTAGAATTCGAATCTCAGTATGACATACCTTTTCTCCCTGTTGTCCCACATACATACGTTTTTTAATGTTAAATTCAGAAAAAATTTTAAATCCATAACTATACCGGCACAATAGCAACTTAGAGTAAAAGGATACATGCATGGAGGAACTTAAGACAACAGAGGACCATTACTACATCAAAAGAGATGCACAATCATGTTCTCTGTAGCTATCTCACATTCACAATGTATTATTTTACAGCATACATGACCAAATACATTACATCTTATAGCCTGGATGCCAGACCCAAAGCACAATGGACACAAAATATCTCAGTGTGCAAGCCGGCTATACATCTTACAGAGAAAATGTTTACTCTTTCTTGCAGAACCTAACCCAGTGGGACCCTGAGAACCCAGAGTCACTGGTGTTAGTACTAGAAGACCTGCTGAGGGAGTACAGATGTTACCAGAGACAGCTGATAGAAGGGTACAGCAGGCTACAGTTTGAATACTCCAGTCTGCAGGGGATGGAGGCATGTGATGATGTCGAGGTGCACATGGGCAACAGGCTTCCTGGGGTGAGCTGGTTCTTAGGTTTAACCTTAGCTCACAATTATTTGCCTGAGTGTTTGGTTGATGGATGTACTATACCCTTTTAGAAAATCTTGAGAAATTTGAATATTTTCTTTCAGTGATTTAACATCTTTCTGGAATTGTGTTATTTTTTCAGACACTTGACTCTCCCGTCAACTTCCTCATCAGACTACCCATTGACCTGTCACCTATTCCACAGTATTTGGTCAAGGTGAGTTATTAACACATGTATTGATTCTGCTGTATGGAATACATGTAGTTATCTGGGTCCCATTATGATACTAGTAAGTATGTAAGTGAAGTTAATGCACACAATGCACATACATTGAACAAATTGTACTGGAACTGTTGACTCCAGTGTTGTTTATGTTTCCTGTTTTTGACCTAGGATGACCCAGGAGAAGACCTTGCAGTGTTACTTGCCAAGTTTCACAATTCTGAAGGCTCCAGAGTTACTCCTCAGCTCTTTCTATCACCAAAAGTGGAACAGTAAGATTTTATTTCATTCAATCTTTACATTGTTTTCAGGCATTCCTGTTGTTCAGAACTTTTCATGTGTTATGAGGTCAGAGCTGTGCTCAAGAGTCATGTTTACAAGTTCATTGTTGTTTTGTATTGTTTTGTTTTATCAGTGCACTTGGAGACAACACAGCCTTGAGAATTCCCAGGTTTCCAACAGGAGGTTGTCTGATGGACTACGTTCCACAAGTACAAGATTTCCTACAAAAACAGGTGCAGTACTGTCTGTGGACCTTTTGCAAACTGCTAATGCAGTCCTGTATGTTATAATGCAATGACGTGTTGTAAATCTGCTATGAATTACAATTTCCCAAAGGATGTATCCATTGGAATTTCAGATTGACCATATTGTGGAAGGTTACCAGAGAAGGAGGGAGTATGTAGCAGCATTCATCAGCAGATTTGGAGGGTAAAACAATAGTCTTAATATGTATCACTTTTTGATTAGCTTACTTTGCAAAGTAATTTTTGTTGTGATTTAGAAAATATTATTGAAAAGTATAAAAATCGAACTTTTATTGAGTCACTGATATACAGACTAAGAACCTATAGTTTACCATAGAAATGTTAGTCGGTTGTTTGACTGAGATGTTGATGTCCTTACAGGTCAGTACTAGAGTATGATGCTGAGTCCTTCACCAAGCTGTCCCTGGTGCTGGAATGGAATGAATTCTTCTTTGTACTTCACAGTATGTAGTTTAATGTGTATATATATTTCTAGGGCACTATGGTCAGTAATTATGACAGGAAGAGTGCACAAAAGCCTTAACTTACAGTCCTAATTTTCAGTCTCACTGTTCTGATATAGTTTGCTCAATATGCTTGTACTTGTCTTTTTCTATATGAAGGCCACACCAATTTTTTTTGTTTGTTTCGCTCTTTGATTTGCAACATCTTAAACAAATAAAAGTTTGCTTGTTGCAGTCAATGATCCCAAATTTCTCATGTTTTGACACATTGTGTTATATTTCTGCAAATATCCAGAAACCAAATGTAACTAGACACGAATCATGCTTGCTGAAAAAAAACCTACTATTGTTTCCTCCCAGTTGAACTCCCCTCCAGGTTTCCCCAGGATATGCCAGTCTTCACCTTCCAGTCCTGCTACCACCTGTCCAAGACTAACGGGGAACCCTACATCTCTGTCCAGAAGAGCTACCCATACAGTCCACGCTGGACTGGGGAGGAGATGGCACAGAGGGCAAAGTAAGGTTCCTGTAGTTTCCAGCAGACTCCTTTGCAGGCTGAATGAATAGTAGAAATCTGCATCAAAAGGGGATATAATTGGCCAAGGGAGTTAGTCAGCCAGAGTATCCAATTTGCCTGCAAAGGAGTGTGGTCACTAGGTTCCCTGTTTGTGTTTAAAAAGGGTGAAAATTTACTGTTCTGGGCAAATGTGCAGTTCTTGGCACATCAAAACCATATGGTGAGTGTCCTCTTCAATGTTAGGACACCAATAGGCCTGGTGGTCGTCACTCCATTGTACAGTAAGGATGTTGAATGTGTAAAGTACCTTTCCTAAGGGCACATCTGGAATATCAGGGGATCGAACCCGGGACCTCTTGGTTATGAGGCAGTCACTCAGACCATTATGCCATGTGATGCCACATGTTTTATTGCATGAAATATTTCCATCCAAAGGGCAGCTGCTGAATGGCAGTTTAGTGTTCATGTTCATGTTTTTTGTTTATTTTCCAGACTGTTTATCCTGGACTTCATACCGCAGTTCAAGAAGGTGTCTGTGTCATCCAACAAACTGTAGTGAGAGACTTCTCAAATGGAAGCAGTCTTCCGTCGGCTAAAATTAACTTATTACATGAAGTGATTGTGTTCATGGCTCTTACAGCAGGTTTCCCTGTCAAAGTGACAGACTTGTTTTTTTTTAGTTAGCTGTCCAGTGAATAGTTGAAAGCCATGTAGTTAATGCAATTACTGACAGTGGACAGGTTTACAGTGGACAGGTTTACAGTGGACAGCAATTTAGATACATGTATAATATCAACCCCGTACAAGTTCTAGATAGGCACAATATGTAATCAACATACAATGTACCCAATGTCACAAGTATTTTTTCTTTTAAATTCAACAATAAAATGTAACTATCAATTATAATTTGATACTGCATGTTTTTGTCATCTTCATTTTTCTCATGGACATTCAAATACATTTGTACATGTAAAAGGATGACTGATTTTTTATACACATAAAAGCCAGAAGACATTTCACTATTTCTTATGTGATACACTTTAGATTAGTTTTTTTTTTGTTGTGTCAATAAAGAATCTGTTATAACCTGATTAATTAGCATTAATTACTCTTGTCAGATTGAGTACAAGTTTTCAGCATGATGCGTGATTGAGAAGAACAGATCATCTGGAAATGTTAGACAATGTACAAGGTAATCTGAAGATACCTTTTACAACAAGTATCAATGTAATCATGAGAAATGACTGAAGACGATNACTTTCGTCAGTGTGTTTGCTTCTGACCTACATGAAGAAGGTGAAGTCTGCCATCTCTGCATTGTCTAAGAATG